TGTGTGTGTGTGTGTGTGTGTGTGTGTGTGTGTGTGTGTGTAAGTTACAGAACCACTGTAAAAACACTGAAATGGCCAAATAGGGGATTAGCAGAATATAACATAAACACTTATGAATAATGAGTCTTTTAATATCTAAAAATAAGCATTTTTCAAGGAAAGGGACTGTGATGAGGGGACATTTAAAAATATCAATTTTATGACATTAAATAGTGCCAAACTACATTTTATGTATGACCAACTGTTTTTAATGTTTACACTAATTTTGAAAAATACAATAAATACAAAGTTAAGACCAAACAAACAAACAAAGAAGACCTTATTTATTTGCTGAACAGAACTTATTTACTGACATGGTTTATTGTGGCTATAAATATTTGTTTTTGGACTGTTCTAGAGAGCCTTCTGATTATAAAAGCCTTTTAGCTTCCTTCCCCTGCTCCAACTTTCTTCAGCTTGGCTCTGCTTTTCTAACAAACATATCGTTGCTCTATGGACTTTTTAAAATAGTCTGAGCTTTTTTATTTACAGGATTTGCTTGTACATTCAGCCCCTAATTTTTAAAAAAACTGTGGCCATTTTAATATTGGCACGCACCACTGTAACAACATGTACATCACGGAAGAAGGAAAGCATCATAAGTCTCCTTTGAGCAAGAATTAGGCAACGTAGGATTTTGAAATTAATACTGTAGGCCTCAACTGTAGGTAGGTATCGCGGCTGATACTAAAGTTCAAATCTCAGTGACGTTGACCGTAGGATTAGAAGCCGTACATCACGTTTTCTGTGAATTTTGTGAAAGCAATAACTCAAGAAGGAGTTCACCTAGGATTTTTAAATGGGCTTTAAAAATCTTGGACGAGTTCAAATCTCAGTCACCTTGACCTTAAGGTCAGAGGTCAAGTTTTCTGAAACTCTTGTGAATGCAAAAACTCAAGAATGGTGTAGGATTTTGAAATTGATATCATAGGTGTATCTACTACGATGCTGAGGGGTGGCACTGGCAGGCACTATTATTTTTACATTATCAGCTAATGACTTCAAATTGTCAGCTGTACATAGCTAATACTATGCAAGCTTTCAAAGCAGCTATAATTGCTTTATATCACAGCGTTTTTAAATTTAAAATATCAAATGACTGAACAAAAAATATGAAACTAATATTTAATTTCATGATGAACTGAACCTAAAGATAAAGATGTATTTACAGCCTTGGATTGTGTGAGGGGATATTTACCTGATTCAGTGTTTAGCTTTGTGCTCCACAACATTATTGATCTGCTTCACTTTTTCTGCTCTTATAGCAGCGTTTTGTCCAAAGCAGCTGCTTCCAGTGGAAAAGCTTAAAACAAACACACCCCTCTACCTGCTCCACACTGAAGAGCATACAGAGTAAGACACTAGTCTGTAAACATATCGGAGAATCAAGAAATATGAGAACCGGATATTTCCCTTAGGAGCCGTTAGAGACCACAGTGGAGCTTAAAAAAGCGTGAATATTGGATTTAAACAGGGGGTGATATGTCAGTGCTGTTTGCATTTTCCATTTTCACACCCCCAGGGGGTTGAAAACTCTTACTTCCTCCGTTATTGGAGATGGATTAATGGATGGATAGACAAAGCACTTAATTAATCCCAAAGAGAAATTGCATTGTTACAGAAATTATCCATCCATTTTCTAAACTACTTTTCCGGTTTGTTTTATTCAGGGTCACAGGGGGACTGGAGCCCATCTGAGCTGTCACAGGGCAACAGCAAACACCTCAACCCCCCCAATGTTTTAGTTGTATAACTAACAATTAAATTAAAGGCTAAACTAAATATACTCTAAAATACATAACAAATATAAATAAAGGAGAAAAAAAATGTCTGTCTGCAATACAGCAGAAACTGAAACCTCTGTGTACTTTAAGATAATGAATATCACTCATGAAGCTATCCTGCTGCCACAAGTCTCTAATTCATTTCCTTTCACACACTTCTGCTGTGACAATCGTTGTTCAATTTCAATGCCAGGTGACACTTATCAGATTTTGATACTGTACAGATTTGCAACGGAAACTATAACTGACTAACTAAAGAAAAAGTTCCATAAATTGTTACTTGGGATGAATTTTATAATACAAATCTGTGAATGTTGGTGTGGATGTGTATTTTAAAAGACTGTAAGTGTTCATTGTGTAAAAGTGTAGAGGTTTGATTAATGAGCTAGAAGTAAAAATGCCACCGCAGCGCCCATTCTAGCAACTATTCTTATCCTTTACATTTTTAAAATCTGTCTCATTCTAGCACCAGCCAGATTTGGCCATAGGAGTCCATTTGATGGATCGTTACACGTTCTACATGCTGGAGTTCCTTGAAGACATCCATCCTGCAAGCAAAACCAACATGAATGATCTGGTGAGCCTCTGTTAGCGTGTGTGTCCAGTATGGTCACAACTTCCTCATACCTGTTTGCAGGAAATCGCAATTTCCTGAACCACAAAATAAAATTCTTGTTATACTCTTTAAAATACGTTAGGGGTGTTAATGCAAATTTAAGTTTACAGTTGTGCTACTTCTACTTGAGTGACAGAAAGGAAGAGATTTTCTCTGGTGTCTCACATTTTGAACACCATCGTTTTATTTGTTATAAATTCATTTGTAGTTACTGCAACAGAACATAACAAAAAAGGTATGCAGATTTTTATTAGATTGACTATTTTGAAAGTCAGCTTTTAAAAGGAAGGATGTGGCAATCAGCACTGCTGATACCTGAAGCAGTGTTTTTCTTGTACTGTCCTCTTCCTCTGTCTGTGGGCCAAAAGAAGTCAGATAAAAGTCACACAGGTCACACTTGAAACAGAATATCTGATACGGTGTTGCAGTCGTTGGCCTTTGACGCATCAGGGTGGAAATGGTGAGTACATGTTGCTCTGGTCCATGACTCAGTCTCAGCAGCAACTCCTTTTTCATCTTTTAGCCTCGTGCGGCGATTCAGGCCACAAGGACCACTCCTCATCTGCGTCACCCGGAGTTATGCTCAAAGCACCTCAGATCGTTACTCTGGCACTCTGTGTGTTTTGACACATGCTTATTATTTTTTTCTTCCAATTTTTCTGTTTCTGTAGATTCTCTGTTGTGCCTTTTCAGGGAATTAAGGATCAATACTATGGATTTTCTGGATGAGCCCTCTGAGTTTTCGTTCTTGTTTTTTCCCCCCCCGATCCAAGCTGCAAAGTCGTGCCATTTGCTGTACTTTTCAAGTCCTGTCTGGCTGAGGAAATAATGTTGACCTCAGTTATGTGATTTTTAAATTCTTTTCAAGCAGAAAACAACACATTGATAAACTCACATAGGATTCATTCACAAGTGGTAACATAACAAGTGTGCTAAAAATTGTAATTGGCAAGGACATGCACAAATGTCAGGCACAGTGCCTCTAATCTGTTTCTCACGGTGTCACACCTCCCAGAGCAACAGCTCAATACTAGCTGCAACTGGAACTTGGAATTGGTGGTGCAAAAAGGAATAAGTCTAGTATTGTGTCTTTGTGCAGAGCTGACCTGTACATGCAAGTTATGCTGCTGCTAAAGCTGTCATTGTCATGAGGCGAATATTTATATTTAGAGAGACATTGTTAGTTGTTTTTGTTCTAAATAGTTTGAATAAACAGATATCTTCATATACATATCCAGAATCTGCATGCATAGGACACTGGGACACAAAGCTTGGTGGTTTCCATCTGCAGCCTGCTTGTATCCAGAGTGCCATCAACCAATTAGGAATTGTGTTATCTGTTGTCCAGAAAATTGTCGGTTTCCCTCAGCAACTGTCAGTGGACTAGCTGACTGGCTCCCAAATAGAGATCCAACGTGACAGAAACCACTAATTTAGAACAATGTTGAATATTCCTAATGTGAAATCTTTGCTGTCTCTGCCTCCACAGTTCAAAGTGTGTCCAAAGAGTCAGTGTGTGTCCACTCCAGGCCATCGTACTGACCTGTTCCTGAGAGATCCTGGAAGTGTTCTCATCACAGATTTCTTTGGTAGTGTCCGCAAGGTTGAGCTCACCATGGATGCCATCAACTTGACTGACCCCATCAAGCAGATGGAGGAGAAGTAAGTTTAATTTATTTGTTTTTTTGTTAATGGCAAAAGGTATGCATCAATCAAACTAGAATAAAAACAGGATGGCAACCTGCTAGAAACTAAAAATCCGTGGGTGCCTGGTGATTAACTTTGCATTTGGCAAAAAAGTAGCAGAGGTCTAGAATGCAACACACTCAACCTTTTGGTCTATGAGGTTCTGGCTGGGCAATTAATTAAAGTAATCTGTTAAGTAGTATAAGTTAATGTGACTTTGAATATGTAAATGGATACAGATTTGCGATTTCTTTTCAGCTATTTATGGTAGTTAATCACTGTATTATCTGATTGCATCTAATTTCCAACTTATTGCCGTTTTATCACCTTCTTGATGGACCGAGGTTGAGTGGTTGCAGACCTTGTCCCCCCTCTTTGAAACAATCATTTCAAAGGCAATGGCACTGCGAGTTCATTGCATGCAATTGCAATTATTTTGGCACCACTGTTTTCCCAAATGTGACTGTAGCATTAAAGATACTTGTGCAAAAATAAGTTGTTCACAAATTGTTTCCAGCTTTTCAAAATGAACTAAAGGTAACAACAGAAAGGGAGATTAAAGGTAGATATTAAAGGGATATGAAATGAAGTTGAACATGGGCTGGGCTGTACTTTCATGATGACATGAGGGTACAGCAAGTCAGTGTCAACTTTGTTTACTAAGCAAGTCGTTTAGAAAGCCTTATGTATAATGGAGACCTGGATAAGGCAAAGCCTTTTGAGCAAATGATGAAAAATAAATATCTGAAATAGCCACTGGTATATAACACTGCCTCCTGGTGGTTACAGTTTTACATTACTTTTAATAATCATGTAATAATCATTGCAAAAAAAGGGTAGGCAACTTGCGAGTGTTGCATGTGCTGAAAAAGTGTGTGTGTGTGTGTGTGTGGGGGGGGGGGGCGACCCTTATAAAATACTCTCATTTAGGCCAGCCTCACTGCCAGCAGCCAAATTCATTTTGTGTTCAGTTTCCAACTAACCAGCCTTTGATTTCTGTTTAGTACACCTCCCATCAGTGATATTGATTCCTCTGCTAATGATGTGTTGATTGGCCTGTTTCTGGAAGATTAAAGCACTCAGTGGCTGTCACTATGACCAGTGTTGGGAAGGTTACTTTTAAAATGTATTCCATTACAGAATACAGAATACATGCCCCAAAATGTATTCTGTAACCGCTCTCTCTCTCTCGCGACTGTGTGTTTCCTGGGTGAGAGAGCGCCTTTTCGTTGTTGTTGTTGTTGTGCTAAGCTAACAGGCAGAATGCTACAAGCATAGCTCTAAAGAATGTAGCATCATGTTAGTGTATGTAATCTTGTGTAAGTATTTTATACATAAATGTCGCTTTTTTAAGATTAAACCAACACTGGCTCACTGGAAAAACGACTTAAACCTGTTGGTTAAATCGTTGACTTTAGTTAAAAAGAAAAAAGCTGCTTTTTTTGTTTCCTTTGTGGAAGATTTTGATTTAGTGAGTTAATAATCTGTTAATTTATGTGACCCATCTTTATATTTTATTTTCACTATATATGAAAGTTGCTAATATGTTAAAAATGTTTATTCTCTGAATCTGTAATATATGGTGCATTTTGTCTGTATGTTTATATTACTAATAAAAAAAAAAAAAAAAAAAAAAAAAAAAAAAAAAAAAAAAAAAAAAAAATCAGACTATAAGGCAAAAAGAAAGTGCAGCTTTATGGTTTCATGGACAAAAGAATTTCTGTGGCTGCAATATGATGAGCTAAATAACCAGGGCTGCACATAAGTGGTCCGCAGGTGCGCATTCGCTGTCAAAATAAAAAACGCGCACAAAGATAAGAAGTTGCAACTAGAGCAGGGCGATATGGCCAAAAATATTTATCACGATATATATTTGAAAATTTGCGATAACGATATAACTGACGATATAATTGATGCGAGACAAAATACAACTCCACAACATTACTAGTGCAAAAAGACAACCTTCCATTTATTTTCACTTAAACAAGAAGCTGGTTTTTATGTACATTAAAGCTTTATAAAAATGTAACAGTGCAAATGCAAATTCCTTGCTGAAAGTTTAACCAAAAGGCATTTCCAGTAGAAATGGGCTGACATATCCTGAGCATAACCATGTATAATATCCACTGAAGTTAAAAAGAGGTGCTTTGCAACATTAAACTGCAGTGTGCAGTACGCATTTTTCGGACCATAAGGTGCACGGGATTATAAGGCACATTAAGCGAAACAAAGCAGTCAGATAAATCAAACTTTATTAAACTCATTCTTCTTGCTTCCTCCACTTCTGTACCATTGATTCATTAATGTTGAATTCTCTGGCAGCTGCTCTATTCCCATGTTGTTGCAGTATATTAATGACTAACCTCGTATTGTGGATGGATTATCTCAGTTGTTCTCCTGACTGAAGTTTGGTCCGTTTACAGCATCCTGCCATGCGATTGCATTTGTCTCCAACTATCAGGAACCTTAACGTTAACTTTTATAAGTGGAAAAGTGTTAGTGTTCGTCCTCCAGCTTCACTGTTTATGTTATGCTAACATAGCTGTGTCGCTAGCGATCACGTAGCACATCATTATATACCAGCTAGCCCAACTTCAGTAACCCTACAAACGTCACTGCTGTTTAGTTTCCTGTCTTCATTTATGTTGGAAGTGATAGCAGAGCTGTACGTTTGATTTTTTCAGAAATCTCTCAGTCAGAACATGCTATATCATGCTTAGGTAACTAGCGAAACTAGCGAGCTAACTTCCGCTAGCTTCCTGCTAACTTCTAACTCCGTTAAATGTAATAAATTTTGTTTTCATGGATGCCTGGAAGTTAAACTTCATAGTTACACCTGGTAAAGCAGCAATGCTGATCGTTTTATTAAAGATGAAAGAATTTAGACAGTTTTTAACTCTCAGTGATGCTGCAGTGTTGTTTGACCTGAAATATACGGAGTTTAGGACCCAGATTACTCCCAGATTTAAGAGCATCTTAGTCCGACAAATACGACGGCCGCTTGCATGTTCTGCAAAAAAATGTGCTTTGTCGTGTATCTGACGGACAAACACCAAACCAGTTCCACATCACTGAAGTTGCACCATTTTTACAAACCAATTCTGGTTCATCTGTTTCACTCAACAATCGGCCATGTGCGTATGAAAACAAAGGCACTGCGCATGCGCGTTTTACTCATTCTATCGCGATATTTCATTTTCCTATCGTTGCCTAACATTATACCGGTATTACCGTGAACGGTATAATATGGCCCAGCCCTAGTTGCAACGCGTGTTTGCGTACATAAGATTTTCAGGAGGAGGACAGACATTTGTTTAGAACTCTTAAAGATGTCGAAGAAGCTCCTTTAAGCAATTACTGTGATGTTCCTCCACCTCCAAAGAAATGTCAGAAGGAGTCCGAACCACAAAAGAAGCACGTATTCTCGGAAAAGTGGTTGCAGGAGGTGAGCTGGCTTCAAACAAATGATGAACGCACAGAGATGTGGTGCAGAATGTGCCGTGAAAATCCCACTCTAGCGGACAAAAACAGCCTTTTATATGGACGCAAACGCGCGTTGCAACTTCTTATCTGGTGCGCGTCTTTTATTTTGACAGCGAATGCGCACATGCGGACCACTTATGTGCACCCGTGTAAATAACATAATGTTCTGCCGGGTGTGTTGTTGGTTTTCTCTCGATTTCTGAGTCGACAAGCGCCTTTGTTACTGGGACCAGTCATTTTAAGAAAGGCCCCCATTAGAACCCATGAGAAATGCAAGAAATGCATTATTGCTCAGTCTGCAGTATCTTTCCCAGAACAAACACCAATCGCAAATAACAAACTAAAAATAAACCTGAAAAATCAGTTTAGAACAGCTACTATGTTGCAAAGAGTGAACTACCACTGGCACAATGCAGCAGTCTGTGCAAACTTCAAACAGCAAATGGCCTCGATCTTGGTTCCACTTGTCTCTACCCGTGCTTCAGTGGAAATTTCAAATTCAGGATCTGACACAGACTGATTCATGTCCTACACAGTTCTTACAAGTTCATAGAAATTTCTGTTCAATTAGAACCAAGTATTTGAGTTGATGATTGTAATTTTTATACAATGTTGTAATTTGTTTTTCAACAATTTTTTGATTAATGTTTTGTTTCCTTTACAATATTATACATTAAAGTATAATATTGTAAAGGAAACAAAACATCAATCAAAAAATTGCTCTCTTTTTTATTCGGGCTACTTAAATTTATTTTGGGCTACCAAAAACTGAAGAGTCCCTGCCCGAAGGGCTACCAGGGATTTTGAAATTTTGCGAGCCCTGAAACCACTCCTCTGACAGCTAAAAACCACCCAGCTGTGTATTGTTTGCCGTCGGTGATCTGTATGGACCGCTGTCACTGACTTGTGCAAAAAGCCTCATGTTCAGCATTCTCATAACAACGTGATGATGAAGATGAGGTGAGACGAGTGACTGAATGCTTAAAGTGATCAGAGTGCTGGCGTGCATTCACACATCAGACTTGTAGTTTGACCTGCGCACTAACCGTCAGACACAATGTGATGCTTTGATAAGCCATATGTAGCGTGCTTCATGCCTGCTTCTTACTAAAAGGTCGAGGTGTGTGTGCATTAGGACTTACATTGCTCTTTGTGGCATACTCAGCAGACAGATAGAGAAACAACTGCTTCACATTCCAATCAAAAATTGGCTGCAAATGTGGGAGAAGTTAAGGACCATCAACAGAACCGAGAGAGGAAAACAAAAATGAATCCGAGCATCTTCACTGCATTGTCAGTGCCTAAAACAATGGTGTACATCGCCATGGTAACCAGGGATAATCTGGTGTTAACGCGACTTGAACTCAAATGTGAATGATTCAGCAGTGAGCGTGCAGGGTTATTTTGGTTTAAGAATCAATGTAATGACTGTATAATTACAAGCCTTTGGCTGGAATCTCTGTCAGACCTACTGGCATTCATTTAGTAACGCCCAACACACACAGCTGCTTCAAACTGTTCTTTTGTCTCAGGATGGAGTTTTTAAAAAAGACGACAAGTCTACAAAGAGCTGAATGAATGCACAATCATGAGCAGCCACACAGTGCACTCTTATTGCAAAGATTCTCTGAAGCAGCTGCAACACATGGCAAGAAGAAAAAATCAAACACAGCAATGCTTTAATAGGAAGGATATCAGCTGAAAGGTCAAAGGTGATGAAACCCAGGTCACTTCGTTCTCGGGGTCCAGTGAAGTCATCAACGTTCTTCCTGTGAGAGAGAGAGAGAGAAGTTACAAACGTCACTCGACATGTAGAAGTTGGGACGGACGCATGCAAAGGTGAAAGAAACGACTGCTGTTCCTCACATGACCCTAAATGCTTCTGTGTTTACCTCTGTACTACAGAGCTGTACTGTACCACAGCTGTGGTACAGTACATATCTGTATATCTGTACTATGGTACACAGCTGTGGTAAAGTACAGCTCTGAACTACCGCTCTGCACCCCTTCCAGGCACAGTGAGTATCCCGAGGCTGAGGATGCTGTCCAGGCTCAGGACCGCAGGCCACAGAGCGGCTCCCGCCAAACAGCTAGCATGTAAACCACCCTGCAGCCTCTGCTACACGGAACAAAGACACGATAGAACCTGGTGTGATGCTAACAGCTGTTGAAAGCAGAGACTTACAGCATGACTTTAGAGACGTGGATGTCCACAGGAACCCTTCTGTCTTTAAACGCTGTGGTGATGAAGCAGCCGAAAGTCAGAGCCGCCATGACGCTCAGGGAGAAGGCAAACAGCGAGTTAGCTCTCGACAGGACCGTGTTCATATTGGGATTCAGCAAGTACCACACGGACACTAATTCAAACGACAGACTTGTTCCAAGCCCTGCAGCGGATGTAGCGTTAGCGCAAACCGGAAACGTGAAGTTACGTGGAATAAACACATACTTCCGGTTAAGGCCTTTCAAAATAAAACAAATTTGAAGCGTTTTCGGCCAGAAGACAGTTTTAAAAGAATCACAGTCTAAGTGAAGCAACATAGGTGTGTAGTCCAACATGGCTCTGACTCACATTAAACATGGATCAGTGTTTGTGACTCTCGGCCGGGTTTAAACATGTGCACATGTGTGTTTTAGTGTGTTTGGGAAGTGGTCAGTGGTTGGGGGTGATTGTTTGTGACTCTCGGCCGGGTTTAAACATGTGCACATGTGTGTTCGCTCGCCTCGCGCGACGGCAGGAACCGGAAAGAGCTTTGGAACGATGAGTAAGCGGAAGCTCTCGCTTCCTTATTCAAAACGTTCCGTCGGTTTAAAATGACGCAAATGAACTGTAACCTCTGTAACACACACACATTCGTTTTCATATCTCAGTGGGGACATTTCATTGACAATGCCTAACCTTAACCATCAGCCTAAACCATAACTATTAGCCCTGATAATT